TCCATGAGGTTGGCAGTGGCCCAACGACCTTGCCTGTCGTTTTCCAGCACGGGGTAGTTGGAGGGCATCTGTGCTGGTGTTGAAAATGCTAACACCTCCTGCTTGCTCGGTCAATAATCCTCCCTCGGCAGTTGTCCTTCTGAAGTTACCCCCTGCACCGCTCGCTGTAGCCGTTCTTACACAACGGATGCACGACGGAGCTGCTCTGGCTGCCGGCACACCCAGCACGTGCCCTGCCCAAATCTGCTTATCGAAGAGGCTTGATGTAACGCGGCGTGGGACAACAAATCACCCTCCTTCGTGGCAGCCAAAATCCACAGGGGCTGATCTCCAGGGTGATGGGAAAATGAGAGGTGCTTGGGCAGCATGGCTAGGAGGGGGCAGCACTGGTGTTGGCTATTTTGGAGCCGTTACTGAGCCCCCTACCCAAGCCCAGTCAGTTTTGGCTTGTTTTGACCCTTATTTGTCGCAGGTCTGAGAACCTCCTGCGGGCCCAACTGGTACACGGGTGGCAGCAACAACAACAGCTACATCCTGGCCCTGTTTGTCACCTGCTTCGTGATGCCTCTCAGCCTGATTCTCTTCTCCTACACCAACCTGCTGGTGACCCTGCGAGCGGTAAGTGCGGCACGAATGGGTGAGGTCACGCTTTTCCGCTCACAGGACGGGCCAGGCACAGCTCCATCGGGATGAGGAGCCTCACGGCGGGTTTTTGTGACAGGCATGGAGCTGCCATCTCCTGGCATTGATGTCAATGCAGGATGGAGGCGCCGTTGGAAGTTGTTAACGTCTCTTTTCCAACCTGCCGCAGGCCGCAGCGCAGCAGCGGGAATCGGACACGACGCAGCAGGCGGAGAGGGAGGTGACGCGCATGGTGATCGCGATGGTGATGGCCTTCCTCATCTGCTGGCTGCCCTACACCACGTTTGCGCTGGTGGTGGCCACCAACAAAGACATCGCCATCCAGCCGGCTCTCGCATCCCTGCCCTCCTACTTCTCCAAGACCGCCACGGTTTACAATCCGGTCATCTACGTCTTCATGAACAAACAGGTGAGCGAGTCACCAGATGACAAATCCACAGGTCTCCTGGGGCTTCTGGAGAACAACTCAGTAGCCTCATAAAGCGTGGAGGCAACATCTATCCTATCTGGAAGCGTACACACAGGCTCGGCCAGGGAGTTGCTGTGTAAGCAGCAAGTTTTTTTGGGAATAAAATGGAAAGGGAGGGAGCAGATTCCGAGCTCGAACAAGAGCTCATTTTCTGCCTCCATGGTTTTATGGGGTCAGGCAACTTCATTTTAGATCATAAACTGCTCATTGAACACACACAGCAAACAGAATGAAATGTTTATTGTCCATAAACTGCCTGGATTTGCAAAGAGTTGGGCTGGGAATTAATACAGCTCTCACCCAAGACACTGAGCTTGGGTGATGATGCTGAGCAGTATCCAAGATGCTGAGGAGCATCCACGCTGCAGCCTCTGCCTCCGAGACGGAGGCAGGCTCCCGCTTTTTCCACAACACCCAGCCTGTCCCTCCCCTGCCCAGTTTCAGAGCTGCCTGCTGAGAACGGTGTGCTGCGGCCACCACCCCTGGGCGACGGCAAAGACGGCTCCGGCTGCCCCCGGCCCCCGCGTCGCTGCAGACGGGCTGCGGAACAAGGTGGCACCATCTCACCCCGTCTAACCGCAGCCAGATCCTGCCCGCGCCAAGGCCAGCTCCGGGCCAAGCCTGGTCCACCCAGCGTCATGCAGCACGGGCAGAGAAGGGCCGTGTAGCTACTCCCCCTGCCCAGGAGATGGGTGGCTCTCAGAGGAATCAGGAGTCTTTTACAAAGAAAATAAGAGTGATTTTTCAATGCAAAACACCCCAAGCTGCTGTTTGGTCCCAGTGTCAGGCTGAACACGCTCGGCTGTGACACCTCCAACGCGGTCCGTAGGACATTCACCATCCCTGGGTAGAGGGAGGCTTGCCTGCATCACCCAATCTTGCTCCAAAGTTCGAGGACACGCTGTGAAACGGGCAAAAATCCAGCAGGTATGTTTAAGTGTGTTAATAAACATTAATCAACAGGCCCTGCCAAGTTCACATGTGTCTGTTTTACCAGCTGAGAGAGGGTTCATAGAAAACACTTCACCTCCCACAACTACAGCTGGCACTTCTCTCAGGGCAAGTGCCACATAGCCATCGTAACGGATAGCACGGAAAAAACAGTTCAAAGACACAAACTTATAGATAAATAAAATATATGGTTTCATTCAAGGCAATAAGGAAAGGTCTTAAATCCACTGATATCCCAGCAAGGGTGAAAAGCCAGGTTGTAACGGGGACAAGGCACAGCCGAGCCGCCGCTGCCCAAACAGCCAGAGTTAGAGAGCAAAAGATGCCAAAAACCGCACTAAAAAAACCACAACAGACCAAACCCTCTCCATGGGGCTACACCCCTCACCCTGAATCTCAAACCACAGTGCTCATCTACAGCGCCCGCAATCACACTTGGGAGTTTGTGCAATTTTGGAGCCTGTGGATAAGGCTTCCATACCGCAGGCAGCACCCCCCGAGACTGTCGGTACCGAATCGCTCTGTGAATGCCACCAGCAGCTCGTCTGCCTTCAGAACTCGCTGTCTTTCAAATTTTGATTCTGAACCCTTCAGTTCCTCTGAAATGGGACTGACCCACAGGCACAGGACTTACAGGTTCGCTCTCCCCTCCGCAGTTCTGTTTCCATCGAACGTCCTTCCCGGGGTCGATCCCAAACCACAGCTCACTCCCCTCGTCCCTCTCCTGCAGTCTCTGCTGCTGAAGCAAATCCATGAAGGGGTTAGAGTGAGGCAGTGCCCATCGCCTCGCTGAACTGCCTCTCCAGCACGCAGCAAGCTGCCAGAAAAGCACTTTGAACGGGCAGATTGTGATGAGATTTGGGTGACCAATGTCTCCTCTCCCCGCGATTCTCTGCTCCGAACCCAGACCAGTAGGACGACGGGTACCAGGGAGCCGAAACACGGCTGCTCCTTTCAAACCCACCGCAGGGTCCTGCAAAGCGGTTCCGGAGAAGGAGCATCCTCCGGCAGCGCTGCGTCCCCAGGGCAGGGGGACCACTGCCCCGTGTCCCCCGCTCCCCACTCACCTTCCTGCGCGCAGAGCGGCTCGGGGGGATTAGAGCGGCTCAGTATCACTGTTTTAATTTAATTAATTGGCCTTTCAATCTCAGGGAAGCTTTAAAAAAATAAAAAGGCAGCATTAGCTGGGCCCCCTCTGATCCTCTCCGCTGGCTGTCACTGGTTTTTGTTTAATTGCTCCTGTTAATTAGAGCAGTTGTGCCCCTGTGCTGTGTCACT